GACCTAAACTTGAAAGCTTTGGGGAGCAGCGGCCCGGGGAGTGTTCCCCCGACAGGCAGCCAATCAGACCCGTCCAGCTTGAGAGGTCCTGCACGTCGAGGTCGGCTGACGCGGCATCCGCAGTGGATCCCTGAAAGTGGGGTTCGACCAAACCAGACTGACGGCACGGAGGAAGGTGCAGGGCGAACTGGAGCACCTTACGTTCTGGGTTGGGGAGTTTAGCTGCACCTCTCGTTCCCTTCGTTTCTGCGACGGGATGCTTCGAGGTTGCATCGAGGCGAACTGGATGCGCTGTGCCGCTGAAGCCTATGAGGCGCAAAGAGTAGACATGGGGGAATTGAACATATGTGCACCAGTTTGGGCAATCTGGCTGTCTGGTTCGCCTGCACTTGCCCGGCCTGACTTTGGGTTGCCTGCGCACACTTGCCGTCTGGGCACTTCCCAGCAAACTGGTTCTCTCGCGTCTTAGTCATCACAAATTCTCGGTGGGCTGTCCGGATGCTGAAGTTGTTTCCTGCCCGTTCATTCCGCCCCCCTTGGGCCGGGGAATTTCAACTTTCGGGGTCCTGGGTCACTGGTCAGGCAGGCCCACTCCATTTTTTTCCCAAGTCACGTCCCGGCCCCATTTCCACGTCCTCTTCCGAAAAATCGCCTCGTGTCCCGTCTCGTCTCACTCCAAACCTCACTTCTTCTCCCTCCGTCCCGTTCCTCCGATCCCCCACCCCTCCCCCTCTGACCACGTCTTTCCGTCGTGCAACTGAGACAAACCATGTCACGAAGCGAACAGTCCTGCTGACGACACACTCATTCCTTCACCATTCGCTATACAATACCTATTGACTTCATTCAACAAATCCCACTCATTCACGCCCACGGAAATCCGCCCCACTCAAGCAGCGACAGGTACAGAGAACCTCAACACTCAAACGAGTCACGCGCGCAACGCCCACCTCTCCCCTTCCTCCCGCCCACCCCGACCTTTGACGGTCGCCCTCGCCGCCCATCATGCCGATCCTTGGTGGGAAGAACAAATTCAACACCAAGCCGGCAGCAATCCGCGTCGAGAAAGTAGCCACCGCCCCGAAGCCGCGCCCAAGGCTCGCCCACGCGACATCCTCCACATCCTCCGCCAAAGCCTCCCCGCGCGCATCGCCCAAGCCAAACGCCAAATCCCTCCTCTCCCGCAAGCAGAGCGCCTCGCCCTACCCTTCCTCCTCCTCGGACGAGAAGCGCAGCGAGCGCAAGCGCAAGGTCGGCAGCGCGGGTCCGTCGCAGCCCAAATTCGACAACGACTCTGACGGCGATGACAATTACGAAGAGTTCCTGAAGCATGAGCCTAGCAAGCGGCAGCGCACGCAGGATGGGCAGTTTGTAGACACCCAGCGCTTGTTGACCCGGTCGAGCGCATTCAAGGACAACGCGAAACCCCTCAGTCGGCTGATTCACGCCGCCCAAATTTCCAACCTCAAGAAGTGTCCCAAGGCCACGCGCTCGCTCGGTGCGACAGCAGATGACAGTGTCAGAGTACGACTGCAATACCCGAGCAATTACGGGGCGGAAGAGTAGGTTTCAATCTCAAGTGGTGACTATGATACGGTATCGCTAACCCCTCACTAGGTACGAGCTTATTAACGACAAGGGTATCATCAATGCGATTGAGGACATCAAGACGGTGGTCGGGTTCGTCGCCAACGTATATCTCACCGAAGAGCAGGCCGAAGAGTTCACAGAGCAGCAAAACGGCTTCATACGGCGGCTCAGAAAGGCATCAAACACAAACGACTTCCACGGTTTCGTGTCGGCGCTCAACGATGCGAACAGGAGAATTCGCACTCTTGCGGCGGACGGGACAATACGTAAGAATCTGGACAAGATACACGGGCTGCCCAGGGATTTGGTCGAGTTCATCCTTACCCAGGTGTACGACCGCACAGTATCACCAGACGTGGAAAAGTTGAAACAGTATAAAAACGGCACCGACAATGTTTATGGCGAACTAGCGTACAGGCTTATCTCCGATATCCTACAGGAAAAGACCCGGATGACGTCAGACCAAGTCTTTGTCGATCTCGGCTCCGGCGTGGGCAACGTGGTGTTCCAGGCCGCGCTCGAGATCGGCTGCGAAAGCTGGGGCTGCGAAATGATGGAGAACCCGTGCGACTTTGCCGAAGCGCAGGAGAAGGAGTTTGGCGCACGCTGCAAGATGTGGGGTCTGCTGCCCGGCCGAGTCAACCTCGAAAGAGGCGACTTCACTAAGTGTACCCGCATCCACGAAGCCATGAAGCGCGCCGACGTCGTCCTCGTCAACAACCAAGCCTTCACCCCGCAGCTCAACGCCGAGCTGGTCAACATGTTCCTCGACCTCAAGCAAGGCTGCAAGATTGTGTCGCTCAAGTCGTTCGTCAACGACCAGGGAACGCGCAACGCTAACGACATTGCGAGCAACATCTTGGAGGTCGAGCATCTGACCTATCCTGAGGGTGGTCCGGATGGTAACTATGTCAGCTGGACCAACGCTGGCGGCAACTATTGCATATCGACGAGGAAGTAGGCGGCTGTTCGTCCCATCAGCATCTGTCGTTACGCCGTATGATGTCCCACGGGACTTGTGCAGTAGCTGCAATGTGTGTTATACATTGTGCATGGAAGGACCAAAGAAGAAAAAGAAAAAGGACAAAAGCATTGGAAAAAAAAAGGAATACTGGCATAGGAGAGGAATTAGCGTTGAGTTCATTTACCTGTAGAAATTTTTACAACTCCCCATAGAGCATGTCAGCCGGGCAGACAGCCATCGAGAGAGAGAGAGAGAAAAAGAGAGGGGGGCGTGGCGTGGCGTGGGTGGAGGGGAGGTTATACACGAAATAGACCGCATCATCAGCGCTCATTTGCGAGATTCATGGCATCGGCCTCCTGGGCCATTCTCTTCATCCACCGATCGACGAGCTCCTTGTTCTCCTTCTTGACCTTGTCCCGCTCTTGCTCGGCCATGGACATTTGCAGGTTCATCGTGATCATCTCGTCTTGTACGTTCTGCGGACGACGCGCGAGTCAGCTAATTTGTCCCAGGCCACCGTTTTGCCAAGTTTCCCCCCGTATTCACAAAGATCAAGGAAGCACCGTGACATGGCATTGCACTATTTACCTCGACCAGCTTGCGCTTCTCCCGCAGCTCGTGTTCCCGATCCCGCAACTTCGTTGTAAGGGCTGTATTCTCCACCGTCAGGCTGCGTACTTTTCTCGCGTCTTCCTTGTGTTCGCTTCGTAGCGTCTGTGCCTCGTCCTCGGCTTGCTTGGCTCGGTCTTTGAGGGTGCCGTTTGAGCGGAGGGCCTCGGCGAGTTGGAGCTGGAGCTGCACGATGGTCGGGTCGGAGGAGCTTGTTATTTCTGTTGTTGAAGAAGGGGGAGGAAATATGTTGTTGGACTTCTCGGAGGCTGTGGTTTTGCCCTTCTTTTCGGGCGCGGTTTTGGATTTGAGGACTTGGTTTTCGGCTTCGAGGGCTGCTACATGGTCGGAGAGCTGGGAACCTGGTGGAGGACAGGGTGGTAGGTTCAGTTTGCTAGTCTTGGAGATGCGGAAGAGGAGCTGGAGGGGTTGAGGGTTCTTACAGAGCTGTACGATTTCGAGGTTTACGGGGTTGTTCTTCTCTTGCTCCCGGATGGAGGCTAGGTATTCGGAGCGCCAGTCGGCCATGATGGGCGAATTTTGGTGGGGGTGGAGGGGAGAGCTGGGGGTTGTTTGCTGTATCGTGGGTTACATTTATCTGAGCAGCTGTCTGTAATTCCCCATGGAGTCGATACAGAAGCTAGACCTGGGAACAATGACGGGAATAGCTCTTGTGTTCCTTTCTTGGCTGAGGTGGATTATGTTGGCGGAACGGCGCATGCGTTTTACATTCCAGACACGAACAGCCAGGCTCCTTCGCGGTCGCAGGGCATGGTTGTCCGCAGGCAGTCCGTCACCTGCTCTGGGCCCGGTGTCAAAGGGTGACCAAGCTGGGGTCTCTTTGTCTTATCGGCGCACTGCATCCTTTGGTGGGGTTCCTATCGTCTGCCTGCCCTGGGGAAATGACGCAGCTCCTTGAAGCCGGTGATTAGCCGGTCCCAGCGGTGAATTGAGGCTGATCTCCTGTAATTCGTGGCGCAAGCTCCATTCGACCTAGGTGCCTGGGGTACCGTACCTCTAGCTCATTGAGAGCTTGGGTGGTAGAGAAGCTCATACCTTCAACCTCACTTCTCACTCATCTCATACCTCGGTCTCAAATCAACATCAGAACCAGGCCTCCAACATCATCGCAAGCTCACATATCGAAACCTCCAAACTGTTCCAAAGACAAAAGCCACGCTTGATTTGAAGACAGGCTCACGATATCTGTTGGACAAGGCCCGGGCGAATGAGGAAGATGACATGATGGAAGCGTCTCACCCCGCGGCAGGATGGGAGAACGTCGGCGAAAAATGGTACCGTAAAGTCCAGCTATACACCGAGGTATTCGACCAAGACCTCGACCTCGACAACTACATCGTCGCCGGTGCGCCCTACGGCGGCGCCCTCGCTCTCCTGCGCGACGACACCAAGATCCAGGCCGTTCGCGCCGTTACCAGCAAGACTGGTACAGGGGCAGGAGCCTCCAGTAATAAACCCGGTATCGACATTTACTCGTACGCCGGCAAACTCCTCCGCAGGATCCCATGGGACCAGGGTTCCGGCACGATCAAGGGGCTAGGATGGGCGAGTGTGCAGGGCGGCGAGGAGAAGTTACTCGTCGTCACGGCGGATGGCACGGTGAGGGTGTATGACCTCCAGGGCGAGTTCACGCAGTTCTCGCTCGGCAACGGCGCAGACGAGGTCGGCGTCATCGGGTGCCGGTTCTACGAGACGGGTATGGTCGCCCTGCTCGGGGGCAACGCGCTCGTCTCCGTCACCTCGTACGCGGAACCCCGGCCCAAGGTCCTCGCCGCGCCGCGGGAAGACCAGGGCGAGATCCATGCGTGGGCCGTCGTCTCGCCTGACCACACGCTCTCGCGGTCCGTCGAGGTACTGCTGAGTATCGGGGAGACCGTCTACGTTGCCGACGCGGCCGAGTGCGAGGATCGGTTCCTTGATATCGGGCCGTTTAGCCACATCAGCGTCTCGCCTGATGGGAGGCTGATTGTGTTGTATACCAAGACGGGCAAGGCGCATGTTATATCGAGCGATTTTCAGGAGCGATTGGTGGAGCACGATTCGCAGTCGAGGATCCCGCCAAAGTATGTGGAATGGTGCGGTTCCGATGCGCTGATTGCGTGGGAGGACGAGGTGCACATCATCGGGCCCGACAGCGCGACGGCCGAATTCTTTTACGATGGACGGGTTCACGTCATTTCTGGTACGTTGATGGACAACTCACTCAGTGTATAAACATCATCTAACAATACCATCTAGAACACGACGGCGCAAGACTCATCACAAACGACGTCTGTGATTTCCTCGAACGCGTCCCTCGCGCCACAGAAGACGTCTTCGGCACCCGCGCAGAGTCCTCCGCGGCCTCCATCCTCCTCGACGCCGTCGGTCAGCTCGAGCTCCAGTCCCCAAAAGCAGACGACTACATCCAGCTCATCCGCGCCAACCTCACCGAGGCCGTCGACACGTGCGTCAACGCCGCCGGCCGCGAGTTCAGCGTCCACTGGCAGAAGCAGCTTCTCAAGGCCGCCTCCTTTGGCAAGTCCGTCCTCGACATCTACAACAGCGACGAGTTCGTCGACATGTGCGAGATCCTCCGCGTCCTCAATGCCGTCCGCTTCTTCGAGGTCGGCCTGCCCCTGTCCTTTGACCAGTACCAGCGCCTCACCCCCGAAGGTCTACTCAAAAGGCTCATCAACCGGCACGAGTACCTCCTCGCCCTCAAGATCGCGGGCTACCTCCGCCTCCCCACAGACCGCATCTACGTCCACTGGGCCTCTGCCAAAGTTCGCTCCGGCACCGAAGACGACGACACGATATGCCGCCTCGTCGTCGAGCGCCTCTCAGGCAAACCAGGCATCTCGTTTGAAGAAATCGCCCGCGCAGCCTACGACGAGGGACGGGGCCGCCTCGCCACCGAACTCCTCAACCACGAACCCCGCGGCGGCCGCCAGGTACCCCTCCTCCTTAGCATGGAAGAAGACGAGCTCGCCCTCGACAAGGCCATCGAGAGCGGCGACACGGACCTAATGTACACCGTCCTCCTCCAGCTCAAGAAGAAGCTCCCCCTCGCAGCCTTCTTCCGCACCATCAACGCCCGCCCCGCGGCCACCGCGCTCGTAGAGTCCTCGGCCGCCCGCGAGGGCGACAACGCACTCCTAAAGGACCTGCACTACCAAGACGACCGCCGCGTCGACGGCGCAAGCGTCTTCATCCGCGAGTCCCTCGCCCAGGCCGACGCGCGCACGGCATCGGACAAGCTCGCCCTTGCTGCGAAGCTGCTCTCCGACTCCCGTGAGGCATCGTTCGAGGTGCATGCTCTCAAAGAGGCGCAGACGCTGCTCAAGATGCAGGAGGCGTTTGACCGCGACCTCACCGATACGTTCACGGGGCTCAGCGTCAACGAGACCATGTTTAAGCTTATCCGGCTGGGGTACCACAAGCGCGCGACAAAGATCCAGAGCGAGTTCAAGGTGCCGGAGAAGGTTGCTTGGTGGCTTAGGTTGGTGATTTCTGTTTCTCGTGCCCTTGTCTTCCTCGGTTTCTTGTACATTCGGCTACCTTTCTCTATCCCCTTGCCAAGACAGGGGAGGCATTATACAGTTGCTAACCCCTACCTTCTTCTTTGTAATAGACTACGCGCTCTCGTTGCAAAGCGAGACTGGGCCGAGATTGAAGAGCTCGCAAAGACGAGGAAAAGCCCGATTGGGTGGGAGGTAAGCTTTTCTTTCTTCACATTCTACAATCTACTACACACTGTCACAAAACCATGAAGAAACCCGCGTGCTCGGCAATCCGTTGTTCTCCGTGACACGTCGGAATTACACTCTACTGTAAACCGGACGAAGGAAAGGAATTGGCTAACCTCCGAGCGCAGCCGTTTTACAACCTCACGCTGCAGGCGGGCAACCCGCGGCTGGCGGCGGTCTTTGTGCCAAAGTGCACGGGTCTGGAACCGGGAACGACGATTACCATGTACGAAAAGTGCGGGATGCGGGTCAAGGCGGCGGAGGAGGCGGTCAAGCTCAAGGACGCCGAGGCGTGGGGTAGGCTCCTCGAGGCGGCGGGACGGGGAACGCAGGAGGGGCGGGAGATTGAGAAGCTCGGAGCCGCGGTTTTCAAGAAGTGAGGCTGGCGATTGTTTTTTTGCGAAGGCGAGGTAGGCGAAGCATTTGACGCTTTATTCGAGGACGAAGGATGATGAGATCAGACGAAGGAGAGGGGGCGGGGGTGTCAGGGTTAAAAGGGGTCGTCGCCGCGTCGCCGGTGGTTTAATCTCCCTTATTAACATACGTAATCTGAGCAGAATTAAGGTGATGCTCCGCGGCTACTGTCGAAGATGAGAGGTCTTCCTTGAAGGTTTACGTTTGAGGCAATGTACAAATGGGAATTGGTGCCGTCGTCGATCCGGGGTAAGCTTGCACACCGGCTGGTCGGGAACTAGGATTTCCCCGGGCCAGGACGTGCGTGCGCGTAACGTGGTTTCTAGCTTTGTCGAATTCTTCACAGCCGATTATGCCAAAGGGAAAACTCAGGCCATGCCAAGTCCTAGTGTGCTAGATGTGCCGGATCGTCCAGCTGTCTGACGGGCTTGCGTCTATTCTTTGACGATTGCTTCCGGATACGGCTTCGCTTGGCAGATGTCTAACACAGCTGGGAGTCTTGAGACCTTTAGTGAGTCCAACTTACCTGGCACGTTTTGCAAGATTGAGTGAAGAGAGGGCATGAAGAGGTCGCGTGATAGATCGATCTACACGTGGGCGAACCACGGGAGACGGGCACGCCGCCGCGCCGACACGGGCTCCAGGGTTCGAAGACGGGTGCTCATGAGCTAAGATAGTCCTGCGGCTCGGATTTGATGCTGTTTGCCTTTGAATGTCTGTTTGTCGAGGGGCAAACAATTGGATTTTGGCCCAGGAACGAACGCCCCATTTGGCAGCGAGATTGCATAGGTAGAACAAAGCGAGGAGCACCGGGGGCCGTGGTCTCAGATGGGACACAAGGAAGCAATGCAGAGAGTGAGGGTCCAGGTTGAACCTAGGGCGGCTTTGGCGGGAGGTCTTCATGAATCAGGTAAGTTCTGGGGACACCATCCCAGAGGATTGATTGCGCATGGGGGCGACGACGGTCCGATATGCCTTGCTATGCGCCAAAGGGTTTTCTGAACATGTTTGTTCGGGAGTGACAAAGCATGAGCACGAACGGGTTGAAGCAGGTTCATCTTTACGCAGAGATGGTTTCCGTGGATGCCTGTGGGTGGCTGACATTGAATAGTAATTTTTGTTCTGTGACGCCCTAGTCGCTGGTGATGGAGGGCATGGAGAAACATTTCTGAGTAGCATTTGGCCGAATTCTTTAGACCATCCGCTGTGTTAGTGGTCGAGTATGCCCAGGTACGTAAGACGTTCTGGTTGCAACCGGTCATTGGCGTGTGGCGTCTCCTTGATCGAGCGAGATCAAGCGCTGACTATTGTAACCGAGATGCCGGGAAAGGCGGATCTAGATCCTCATCTCTGGGCATGCGTTGAGCCTGCATTTGGCCAAGATGAGATGAAGGCGACTGGAAAATGGAGAATTACAAAACAGTGATAGGATTGAAAGCAGCCGTCCGGGAGTAGGTTCCCACAAAGAGCGAGCTGTAGGCAAATACGGACGCTCGGCCCCGGAGAAGAATCGGAGGGTGCATGAGTTGAGGCATGTGCCGCCAGTGGGAGGTCTTGGCAATTGCTTCTCGTGACAAGGAGGAAGCCGACTCAAGGTGGCGAGGCAAGGCGAGGCGACAAGCGGAAATTCGCTCGTTGGTCTCAGCATGCAGGATCGGGTTCGGATCCGTGTTTCTGATGAGCTCTCGGCCTTCTAGAAAATTTCTTAATTGTGGTTCTAGTTCCGCCAAGACGGTTGCCATCTGGTCTTGAGAGGTAAGGCGGAACGGAATGTTCATGTCCTAGAGTTTGCTTTTGTTTTCGCAGTGTCACAAGCGTTGGTGGTGAGTCGGATGAGGCTCGGGACAGCGGATGACGGACCGGACGAGTCAGTGGCAAAGGGGGGTAGAGGGACCGCATTCCTGAGTATGGCAGGGTTGACTCCCACATCGTCATTCAGCTTTCATCCATGTTGGAGAGAGTCTGTGATGAAACGGCCATCGATCAACACAGGCAGGGAGCCATGGTGTCGTGAAAGTGGTGATTTGCCTTGACTCTTGGATACAGTAAGATCCTTGTGCCCTTGTGCATGAGGGCGCCACAAAGTCGAGGTGGGATTCCCAGCCTTCTGATGGACTTCCGGCGGGGAGAGATTTCCAGGACCCAACCACGATGGCGGCCCAGGTGAAAGGACGGCATGGGAGGAAGAGAGTGACGGACGGAGGTGGCGGGGGTCCTCGGTCACACGCCTCGGTGCCAGTCGGTGGGCCTGGGGTTCCCACCCATTGCTCGTGGGCGACAGAGGAACTTTGGGCAAAGTACCTTGATCTTCTCGGTTAGGTAAGGTAACCATGGGCGGTGGGTGCATGGGAAAGTCGATGGTCTTCGACTCTTCGGACGCAACCCTCAGCGGAGGGTCGAACTTCGAAGGGTCTATTCAGGGAGCTAGGGAGCTGGGTGGACGCTAATCTGGTGATTGCGTTAGCGCGAACAGCCCCCTGAGGGTATGGTTCGCCATTGTCTCTCGCGTGCAGCGTACTGACCATGGAAAGCCTGGAGGTTTGAGGGCGACGGGGAGACCAAAGTGCCTCAAACCACTCACGCGGCGCTCTTTGCAGTCATCTTCCATGGGGGGAGATATCCGTAGATTAGGCCGCGAGGAATGCGTGGACTTCGTGGGAGCAAGGTGAAGAAGTGAGCTGACCTTGTCACGCCCAGAATTTTTTTTTTTTTTTTTTTTTTTTTTGCGGTTCAGGAGGCTGGTGATGGCCCCGTTGTGCCGTTATTCCAGGGCTGATGGACACCAACATGGTGTTCACGGAGACAATGTTTTCATTCCCTCTTTTTGGTGGAGAGATGACGGTAGGCGACGGGAGGGCCGGAAATAACATGGCGCGTTCTTTCCTCTGCCGATGTCTACATCTGATGGGAAAACTTGGAAAGACCTCTCATGTGTAAGGAGGCAGGCGCACTGGGCGGGAGTCGCCGTCGTATTCGGCCAAGGCAGGTACAAGTCACGATGGATCATGTTCATGGAGCATTGCGGGAAGGTATCGTAATGCAGTCTTAGTAACTGCTTGGCCGTTGCCGACCCCCTTTTTGCCTCATTCATTTACCTCTAGTCGCCCAGCAGTGCTAGCATTATATTAGATGCCATTTTGTCATTGTGTTTGCCTTGCATTGAGGTATCCATAAATGATGACAAGCTCGCAGCAAAGATCGTGAGATGCCCTGGCCTTGATGGGCAGTGATGAGGCACCTTGTACAGAGAATGGGGAGAGGCATTGCAGATGGTGATACATCCTGGCTGGTGCCAACCCGTGCACTCTGGTCGCCGATGCCCTTTTGAGATGATCGTGCCTACCTCACGTCCCGGGATCTGAAGCATTGGCCATCTCGCAGATGCAGATACCTTCTCAGTCCCGTGCTCCCGCCTTCCATTGACTTAAAACTTGAGGTACCTTGCGTGCTTGCCTAGCACCTTCAAAGTCTCTCTCGTCTCGTGTTGCAGCCCCGTGCTTCCGCGGAAAGAAGGCGAGACAGAGCACCTGCCTTGTCCAACTCTGAGTGGTCCTGGTGGTTGACGATCGAGAAAGCCAAAATGCAACTTTGGATGAAGAAGGTGCGAGTGCGTTGTGAAGGCAAGGTGAGGCAGGTGCGCTTGGGCGGACTTTCCACAGATTCCCAGATCTTTCCGCCGCCCTTCGCCGATGAGGGCCGTTGTATCTCCGATGCCTCGTTAATCTTCCTTCCGTCTCTTCCATTCAAAGCTCTACCTTACCTGAGGTAGAAGGTACCTCAACTTACCTCACGTCACAACATCCCAACCAAATCTAAGGCAAATGCCTTTTTTTGAGCTTCTTTTGCGTTGAACGTTCACTTCAACTCAACCCTCCAGATGACTGGCGACGCATCCGGTGTATCTTCTCCGGCCATCTTGTTCTTCTCCGATGACGGGACGGGAGTCTGATCCAACTTTGATCCAGCTTCCCGGAGCTGGGCTGCCGCTGGCTTGACACTGAGACCCCCAACCCAAATGACCCTGCCATGTGTCTGTGCTCCGCCGTTCTCGTTGCTTCTTCTAACTATTCTGTACATGGCAGCCGCGCATCTCTTCAAAGACTGACTTGACTGCCCACCTCAAGGCGCATGCAGAATCCGAGACGACTCTCTCGATACGCATCCCTCCGGTAGCAGCGTCCATGTGGTTATTGATGTGTTCCAGTTCTTCACCCATCGACCGGCGGGAGAGACACCGGGTCACTAACTGGCAGCAACGTAAGCCTCATCGCTGTATCATCATTAGACATCATCGACGTCGTCGGTCACGGCATTTCCTCCCATCAGCAACTGTGTGCCACACCGACGTCCATCTGTATCTGTAGCCACGAACAATAGCGTACCCTTACTACGTCGTACCAGTCCGCATCCACTGGATATCCCGGCTAACAACCCACACGCTTGCAGCAAGCATATCCAGGCGCATCCTGTCTGTTGCACCCCTGGCCCTGGTTCGCCTTTACGTCCCCTCACTCCAGCCAGTCTTTCAGTTCTGTCCGGCCCTAAACCAAAGGCAACGCCGCAACAATAACGTCCCCTGCCATTCTCGGCCTAGAAAGACGAGAACACGCACATCTCCAGGCGCGACCCCTACCGTACGGCAACTGCCACACCAATACGGCCCTCGCCCTGGTCGTGTGTCTTTTACTGTTGCTTGCTAGACGTCGTCATTATCCCCATAAACACCCCCCCTCACCCACCAAGCAGTAGCAGAGCCTGCAGAGGGAAGAAAAAACAGTGGCACGCGCGCCAACGAAAACCTGACCGACTGGGCTGGACCCCGACTTGTTGTCTTTACGTCCAAGTACGGATGCCTACCTGACCTGGACTGCTACTGTTAGTGTTAGTACGGATACTGCGTGCCATTTCCACTGCCCAGCTGCCCTGTCCCTGAGGCCCTTGCTTCATCGCCGCCAGCATCCAGACCAATTCTCTCTCTTCTTTAGCTGCGTCCCACCCAAGGTACGGCCCTCCTGCCTCAGTACGAAGCACTCTATCCGTAGAGTCTGTGAACACCTAACAGGATACACCTAAAAACTACTCGTCTCGTGTCTCCCGCCCTCCATCGTGCCCTGCCAAGGTACTTTCATCCAGGACCACCGCAAGTACCTTTTTCTTCGTCCAACCTCACCGTCCACGGCGGCGGCGCACTGCTTTCACGCCTAGTCCGTCTGGCTGTCCGGGCTCTTCCTTTTAGCCACTTGACCCAACTGGGACTGACACTGACGATTACGACGAGCAACAAGAAGAACTCGACGCCCGTCCTTCTTGGCTCCAAAGCCGAAATACTGACCCTTTCCCCAATCCAGCCGAGCACCACAGACATTCAGCATCCTTCACTTGCAACTTTCCACCAGGTCCGACTTTGTAAGGCCTGCCGCAGTCGTCCAGACTAAAAAAACAGTCTTCCCCAGGTCCTTTTCCTGATCCTGGACGTAATCTGCTTTTCTCGGTCCATAACACCATTCATCTCTCTCTCTCTTTTTCTTCCACCCTCGGACCTTACCTCCATCTCCCTCCCGTCTCGACGATTCCTCCTTGGTCCCCTTCGTCCCTTTGGTCCCTTTGTCCAACCTCGCCCTGCCTCGTTACAGTTTCACGCCTCGACAGACGAAATCAGAATACAGAATACCTTAGGAGAGAGCACCGTAGCTTGCTTTCTAGACAGGATCCAACAGCGACATTCCAAGCAAACACAACCCGCTCTTCCCCCACTCCCTCTCCCTTCTGTCTCTTATTATTTCACCCCTTTCATCACGTTCTTCCCGCAGCCTTTGACACCCGTCGCTCTCTACTTGCACCCCAAGAGACAAGGCAAAACAACACGCAGATAGGTCACTCAGACAAGTCCGCCGACGCCCAGTGATTCAGCCAGCTAGTCAGCCAGACCGCCAGCCGAAACCCACGAGTCGAGAGCCGGCACCATTGCGACACTACCGCCTGATTTCCAGACGGATTCTAACCCTGCGGCGGCCACTACTGCTTATTACACCCACCAGCCAAAACAGTCCCAGCCTAACAACACCACCCATTCTCCGTTCCCTCCCAGGCTCCCCTCCCCCTCGAGGCGCAAATGTTTACACAACCAGTCGCATCGCCACCGACCGTGGGCCCCGTGCCGACGTCTGTCACCAATCCCGCTTCACCCTCAACACGATCCAGTCGCCTGCGAGGCCTCAGTTATCTCCGCAGCTACACTCAAAATCATATTTTGTCCCGAGAACACAGCAGTCAGGGCTCCAACTCTCCAACATCAAACTCCCACTCCCACGCCGCCGCCCACTCACACTTTCACCACAACACCGGCTCCAGCCCGCACTCTCAGACCCAAACTCAAACTCAAAATCAAAACCACCACAGTCGTTCAGGTTCTAGTCGCCCAACCCCCGGTCTGCAGCGCTCTCTCAGCTATTCGCCTACTTCAACCCCCCGTCGCTCCGACGCCGACACCAATCTGAACCCTCTGTCACTCGTCGCCTCATTACAGGAGTCACCCTCATCGTCAACTTCCTCCGCGAACAAGGCCTCCACCACGCCCTCTTCGCCTGCTGTTGAACACCCGCCAGTGGATGCGCTCCCCTCCATTCTCGACGACGTCATTGCCAGCGGCAGCAGTAGCAGCCATATTCGGCAGCAATCTGACCAGCAGCCGCAGTCGACCAACGACGCTGAAGCTGCAAACATGACGAGAGCACGCGCCTCTACGACAGGCGATGCCCCGGCCGCAGCCTCCCCCGCGCCCGAAAATCTACCTTCGATCCGATTTTCTGCCTACTATGATCCCCGCGCGACACGTCCCAGCCTGACCTTCCCTCCAGTCTCCAGAACGCTGCCCTCGAACGGCGACATCATCAGGGTCGGCCGCTATTCAGAGCGAGATAACCAGCCCAATATTCCCAACAACACCCCTTCGGCCGCGCCCGTTGGTTTCAAGAGCAAAGTTGTGAGTCGCCGTCATTGCGAATTCTGGTATGACGAGGGTAAATGGTACATCAAGGACGTCAAGAGTTCTTCCGGCACATTTCTCAACCACATTCGACTGAGTCCCCCGGGAACGGAATCGAAGCCTTTCCCTGTCAACGATGGCGACATTGTGCAGCTGGGAATAGACTTCAAAGGTGGCGA